CCTGCTGGGTTCGCGAGAAAGATTCAAACTTTGAGATGGGTTTTTTCGCGGATTCCGCAATTATTACAACATGCGGAAAAGGAGACGGATTTTTGCAGCACACTGAACGGATGAAGCGATGATGAAACAAAAAAGAAAAAGTTGCAAAGAGAAGAGTAAAAAAATCAGGAAGAAGCACTCGAAGAATATCTAATTATCTGGTAAGTGTTTGTCGAGCGCATTGGCGGTCCTGAGCTCGTGAAACGTCGTCGTCCTATCTCAGATATCAACAGTGAGTTTTTTTAAAAACAAAAATAAATTTTCGCAGGCTTCATATGGATGAAGCCAAGAATGGGTAACCTGCCATTGTTTCCTCCTAGTTTCCAGTTCCAAGAACGGTTTCACTCTTATCTGTATACAATAGATTGTGTCGGAAAAACACAGTCACCTTCGTCGAGCTTCTCCGACATCATCATAAAGGCCATACTTTTCAAGCAGATTATTCAAAAAATCACCAACAATGTAAGAAACTCCCGACGCTCCCATTGCTAGTCTCGTGTATCCAAACACCGTCTTGAAATACTCCCTTGTCCTTGAGACGTAAGCTTTGGCAATGGCGAGAGAGATGATACATACAAGAGATGCTGCCAGAACAGCTGTTGCTTTGTAGTGTCTCTTGTCCGTTCCTCGGAATGAGAAGCCGTAGACCAGAGGAGGGATTATCCCGAAGACGATGAATGATACGATCACTATGAACATGTGAAGGTAGAACTTGTCTCTTCTTCCGAGGGTCTGCTCGTATCGATCTTCTTCCTTCTCACCTGTTTCTGTTCTTCTGGGTTTCTCGTTTCTGAGTTCAAGAAGCTGCAAAAATCTTCTCTTTTGTAAGTCCTCTTCCGGTGTATAGCATAATGACCATATATATGTGTGTGTGTATATATTGTATGTGGAAGTTTCAAGATTGGATCACTCACATTGTGAACAATAAGTGTAACCCCGCTAGACAGATTTGCCAATCCCATGACGAAAATGTTCACTGCAGCCAAGAACAGCCGCATATGATTCGAACCGAGACATCGTCTAGGAATTTTGAAACGGATCTGAAACAGGAAGATATTGGCTATACTTACAAGTTGAAGCACCAGAACCAGCGGCGGATGACACAATACCTAAGCTTGTGATGGATTCTAATAGGCCTCCATAGACGACGCTATTCAAGATTTCAAGTTTTCTGCCTTTCCCAGGTACATTGCCCGGGATCTCTGGCCTAACTGGCAGACCGTCGGATTCTGCATCAATATCGATAGGCATCGGTTATTGGCTCGGGGGTCATCAGATCGACAAATCACTGACCAGGTAATAGTGATATCCCGGGCAAAATGAACAGAAGCTAAAACTAAGAGAATATCTCCGAAGCCACAGGGGGTGATTAAGATTACCTGTCTCATTGGCCCCATCAGGACCCTGTTCTGTCTCAACATCAGGTTTTGATATTTTCGGGGTAGAAGGTTCGGCGGTATCTTTTCCTTCTTCATTTACAGAATTTATGTCGGAAGGTTGTTCACTTGGCAAGACACCCTCGTCATTTTGCAACATGCTCGACTCGTTATCTCCAGAAGGGTGGCTTGGCTCATTGTTCCCTGCAATGATTCAGCAATAATGAGAGAATATGACTTCCAAAAGAAGATGCTAAGCTAAAAGCATGAGAAGCTTCGGAGAGTACCTTGTTTACTGTCATCGAATCTGCTCGGACCAGATGGCATTGTCGTAACCTTTTCAGCATCTGGCAATGTTAAGAATCATCATCCAAGTACCAAAGAACAAAAAAAAATGCCTCGTTTATACGACATTGAAGAGATGGGCAATGCGAGAGAAAGCAATACCTTTCTTCTCATTGTTGCCAGGATTGAATTGGTAGCATAGTGCCAATATGGCGATGAACAACAGCGTGAAAATGGAAATGAAGTGTGGAGAGGAAGCGGAAGGCAATTCCTCCGGAGAAACAAAAATAAACCACAGAGCGAATATGTAAAGGAACGACAGTGCAACGATGTAAAGGAATAACAACACAGCTATGTGAAGGAACCACGATATAAAATCCCGGACAGTGGTCTTCGGTCTCCGGTTGCTGACATCGAGAACACTAGTAGGAACTGGCTCTGGGACAACCTTTTCCTCGCCTGGATTTAGTCAAGATTTGTCATCCAAATGTTCAGAGAACCAGATTCCTAGCCAAACAGAGGGATACCAAAGTGTTTATACCTTTTTGGAACTCCGATTTTCTGACAACTCTGACAGTGTTGGTGATGTCTTTGCCGCAGCAGGGACAGTACAGATAATACATCTGTTGGTTCTTTATCACAGTCTCGGCATCATAACCTTCCACAGCTTCAGTTTTCGGCCGAGTTCTTGTGGTATCAGCATCAGATTCTGTAGGTGAATCTTTGTCGCTGAGATCCTCAGTTTCAGGAGTTGGGTTCTTGTCTTTGTCACTCAAACCATCCATGTTTTCATCAGTCTGGGATTCTTGAACACCAGATTCTGCACCAGTAGCTTCACTTGATTCAGTGGTAAGAAATTGGATTCAACACTTGAAAATGTATACAATCTTCAAAACAAATCCATACGAGTGATTACATTATCAAACTGTTTATTTCAAAAACAAAATCCCTGTAACCAAATGAGTTGACTTTGTTCCAGTAAGAACCTGGCTCTAAGTTCACAAACGAACAGGAAATTCCAATCCCCAGCTAAATTCATTCAATCCATTTGTTTGTTTTAGCCATGGCATAGAATCTCGAACATGCAATCTACAGACTACGAATCCTGACAAGGCTCAAACTACAATCACCAGCACAGGATCAGTTTTCTAAATTTTCCAGCATCTATTTGAGAATCCACCAAGAAAACAACAAATCAGACAAAACCTCGTTCTTTGTCGAAGTCAACGCCGAAACTCCTCTCGGCGCCATGAAACCCTCGATCCGATTCTTGCTCATCTGAAAGGACAGTGTCGGTACAGCTGGTACCCATTCCTCCGGCTTCTTCGCCGAGAATGGTCACGATGGGATCTCGAAGAACGGCGATGGATTCCATTAGAGACGAAGAAGAAGAAGAAGAGACGAGAGAGGAAGACGACAACGATGTTTTAGGTATTAAACGTGAAACACGATGATTTTTAATTACATTTATATATCGATGGGTGTTTAAGAGTAAATAATTTATCAGCTTCTTCCTGTTTTTTTTTTCTTTTTCAGGAACCAATATATTATATTTTTAAATATGGATATTATATTAGTTGAACGTAACATGTAATGAACATGGATGCAGGCCATATTCTCCGGATCTGGTTTAGCTTTGAGACGGTAACGGTCATGTCCCTTAAATCATGACTCACTTTCCCTCTCGACCAAAAGCCCCTTCCCTATCGGTTCGTCCGTACAATCTCCGGTAACGGTGTCCGTACAGTTTGTCCTCTGCTCCGGCGTCTTCATTTGCGACGGTGGTTTCCACCGGAACTGCGACGGCGACGGTGATGATTATAATGGTGAAAAAAAAAGGAATCTTCTTTGTCATTTTTAAATCTTACAATAATAATGTTTTAACCAAAAAAGAATCTTATAACAACAACAAAAAAAAAATTGATTATAAAAAAAACAACAATAACAAAATAATAATAATGTGACGATGACACGTGGATTCATATGGTGGATAACAGCCTTTTTACACTAAATGGGCTTTGTATTATCTAAGGCCCAGGCCCAACGTTTATGTTTTGTTTAATCATTCCGACGTGGCGGTTGATTTTACAGGAAGTTGCAACTTGCATAGACACGACGGTAGTCCAATTAAATTTAAATGTCGTAAGCTTTTAAAAAAATATATTCTATTTTTTTTCATATGTTTTGATTACTAGTTAGATGGTCAAAACAAAACTAAAAAAAAATATTTCCAAGGTAACTGCATTTACTGTGGTAATGCCCCAGCGCGCGAATGGGGAGGATGGACATTTTCACGGAAATTTTACACGTGTCTAAATTTGATTCGCTGATGAGTGTTGGGTTATTTATGTAAATATCAACTTGTACAAGGGGTGTTTTCGTACTTGGAGACGTTATTCTTTTTCCAACAAATAGATCTTCTTCCACCCTATCCTGTTTGTTTCCCCAGAAAATTGGCAAACCCTAGAGAGAGGGAGATTGAGCAGAGAGAGCGAGAAAAAGAAAAGAGAGAACGGGACTATAGAGAGGTCTCAGAAATCTGTTCGATCGATATCGCAGTATTTCCTATGTTGCGATTTGGAGTTTGAATGGATATCTGTCGGGGAGATTTGGTGTCCGATATTTCCTAAACCGTTCGATCTTGTGATTTCCATCGGTTCGTATTGCGGATCGGAATCGATTTCGTTTCAATCAATAGAATGATTTCGAATCCAAGTCTCGTGTTCTACACTTGCATTGCGAAGAAAACTGTGGTTCTCGCCGAGTTCTCTTCGAAGGAGCCCGGGATCGAAGCCTTAGCTTTGAGATGCATCGAGAGCGCGCCTCCCAATCATTCGATGTTCTCTCATACGGTCCGCAAAAGAACGTACACTTTCTCGATCCATGACCCGTTTGTGTATTTCGCAATCTTAGATGAAGATGTGGAGAAATCGGAGAGCCTCTGGCTCCTGAATCGTTTAAAGTCAACCATGGAAGATCTGATAAAAGCCGGATCGGTAGATTCGTTGGATAACCCCTCGCCGCATTGTCTCCAGTCAAAACTCGATCCGGTTTTCGCTGAGATCATGGGTTTTGATCTGAATTTGGATATGGATATGGATTTGGTGGGATCTCCGAGGAGCGTAGGGAGGGATAGCAGTCGGAATCCGAGCATCGATTCCTCGAAAGGGCGAAGAGCCGCAATGATACCGCTCCTGGGAAAGCCCTTTAAGGTGTTGAAGAAGAAGAAGAGACTGCACACGGAGACAAAGGATGAAGACGCGGCGGTCAAAGATTCAGAGAGGAAACTTGATTTCTGTGGGGATGGAGGCAATGGCGTGTCATCAAAGGAACTGAGGAACGGGTTACTACACGATCATCACAGTCAAAAGGCGAAGCAGATGTGGAAGAAACATGTGTGGGTGGTATTGACGTTCGATGTCCTCATCTGCGTTGTTCTGTTCGGAATCTGGTTATGGGTTTGCCAAGGCTTTCAATGCATCGAAAGGTAAAAAAAAACTGTACATCCAATTTATTTTGCTCAATCGAAAACAATTCCAATCACAATCAGATGAATAGAACAGTGTTTTCTTTTTTTCTTTTTGGATTCGCCAAGAAAAGGGTTTGAAGTTATCCGATCGTACAAGACGAGGACAAATTGCTGATTTGTTCATCTGGGTTTTTTCTTCATCGAATTCCTTACTTCTTTCTGTTCATGTCATGGTTTTTTTCTCTGTCAAGAGTGTTGTTTCCGGGATCGAATCAATGTCGAAATCCAAAATCCTGGTTTACACGTTAGTATTGTATCATGCTCTGGAGATTTCCTCTCTCACAGCGAAAATGAGTGTTTGCATATCTCTTTTGTTTTGTGTATTATCATTGTCATCATCTCTCCTTCTTCTTCTTCTTCTTCTTCCTCGCTGTGATTCGTTCATCGTTGTTGACAGATCCAATCTCGTACTGGTCGATCTTGAATTGAAAAAAAAAACAAAGTCATTGGAAGTTTTGAATGGCATAGCGCACAAATCTCCATAAAAACTGGATCTTTGAATTTCGGGGGCTCATAAAGCTACGTATTTGTCAACTTGTGAAAGTTGGAAGATTGTTAACATCTCCGGAAGAGATTCGATATGTGGGGGACACATAGATCAAACCAAAATCTGCTTCTTTGGATGCATCTGAAGCATGCCACCATCTCCCATTCTGATACAAGACACATCATCATTTTCATAGAAGATGAATTTCATGGGAAGAACATGCAAGGAAGATGGAAACCAAAACTTGAGACTTGGGCACAGTTCAAGATTTCACATTCTGAATCTGGGTAACCAAAAATTCATCATTCATTTTCAGCTTTCCTCACTATACAGTCCATGAAAGACCCTGAATTTTGTTTCTCTGCTGTCGTTCCACCCACCAAGCACAGCTAAAACAGAGCAGCAGAAACTGAATGAATTGAAACAATTACCAAAAGATATATACCTGAGATTGGTGCTGCTGATATCGGTGATTTCGCTGTTGAATCCAGACCAAGGTGAGCTTCAAACATGAACGAAGATCTTGATGTTGTTTCAGAGCAGATGAGATTAAAGGATGAAAAGCTGAAATCTTTGTGCTGGAATCTGATGAAATTTCTGAGTTAGAATCAAAGCGGCTGAGGTCCTGTCGAGTTTCTCACGAGACCGATGCTGAGAAAGAAAGAGAAGGTAATCCTTCTTGTGAGTTAAGACCGCCAAATCTGATTCGTCTTCTAGACCAACCGGTTTATTGTCGGTTATTGGATCAATTTAATTAACAGAAAACTGAATAAACGTGGACCGTTCATTCCCTTTTTTTTCATCCAATTTTTGGAACTTTTGGATGAGAAATTTGGTGCCCTTTTATCTAGGGGTGTAAAATGGGCGGACCGGGCTGGGTTCGTATCGGGTTCAATTCGGGCCTAGAATTTTTTGGGTCGAGCCGACCTGTCCATTTATTTTTCGGGTCTAGGATCGATGACCGGGAATCCGGTCCTATAGGACTTCGAGCGGGTTCGGGCCGGGCTTCGGGTTTTTTTATCAAATAAAAATATTTTTTTTCTACGATAATAATAATAATGTAAAATATTAAAAAAAACAAACATAGTATAAAAAAGATATTATATGATGTAATTAATTTGAAACATATAGAAAAAGAATCTTTATATTCATATGTAAATAAAGGTTTAAAAATATATATATTTAAAAGTTTCTACATTTTCAAAAATATAAATTGATATATATATATATATATATGATATAATATGGTTAAAAAAATAAAAGTTTCCATCACTTTAAAAAATATTAATTGGAACCAAGATAAAGCTTCGTCATTTGGTTAAAAGATACACATATATAAATATAGCACATATATTTGTTTATGCGTATCGAAGAACAAAATCCAACCTATTAGTACGAAACAAAACTACTATAGAGTGAGAAAAAAATATAAAACAAAAAATGTAATCAAGTATTAGATTTGATTTAGTAAAAAAAATAATACAAAAGAAGATTATCTAATATATGATGTAATATGGTTAAAAAGAAGTTAAGATAATTATAGAGAGGTGAAACTTTAGTTTAGAAAAAAGGATTAGAAACAAAAATTAATGGGCCTCAAGCCCGACCCGATACTAAAATCCAAACTAGTAGTACGAAACAAAACCAATATAGAGTGAAAAAAATATAAAACAAAAAAATTTAATCAAATAGGAAGTGTTAGGTTTGATTTAGTAAAAAAAATAATATAAAAAATATCAAATGATGTAATATGGTTAAAAAGAAGTTAAGATAATCATAGAGAGATAAAACTTTGGTTTAGAAAAAAGGGTTAGAAAAAAATTAATGGGCCTCAAACTCGGCCCGAGACCCGACCGACCCGGCCTGACTGGCCCGCAACCCATTTAGCCCGAGGCCCGAAAGCCCGAAATTTAATGAGCCTATATTTTTTAGGTCCATGTCCTTATTATTTTCGGGCGGGTTCGGGCCGGGTTTCGGGCTCTGGGCTTAATTGACATCCCTACTTTTATCTAAAGGTGGAAAATTCAAATTCTACTTGTTCAAATTCTATTGGACAAACTATTATTAAAAAAACTATTCTATTTTGTTTTGAGTTTTGAATAGGGTTAGTTCGATATTTAGGATTTGAATGATAGTAATTTTTATTTTGAGTTTTTGACTTTAGTTTTTGATTTTTTATTTTTTGGATTTTGGTTTTCCAAAAAAAATAAATTTTTTTTAGTTTTTAGTTGATTTTTACGTCAAAATGATTTTTCACATTTTTAGGAAAACTAATTTTATAAAAATTTGATTGTCATTTTTTAGTTTTAAAATTTTAAAAACCCAAAAACCTCTCTCAGTCAAAGCCTTAGTTTTATTAGAAAAAATACTCGTTGTTTCATCAATTATTTTCAAATTAATGCAAATTTATATATCTCTATATATAGTTCTTTTATAATATTCCCTGATATAATAATATTCATAATTGAAGCTATCATGGTCAATAATAACTACAAATAATTCCACATGGAATTGTTAGGCTGAGTATGGGCTTTGTACATATCTCTGTCGCTTTTTTGAAGGGAAATCATAGCATTTGCATGTGTTGCCTACGTAAGATTCAACATGCAATTGTCACCCCAATGTGAATAATGGTTACTTGGTTAGAATATGATTGGACAAATTCAACAATTTTTTTTTCTATTCAATTGTAAAACTCTGTATAACAGAAGAAACTATAAAATCATATAAACTTATTCTGTTATATATATATATATATATTTATATTTGCAGAACAATAAAATATAACATGAAAATACCATTTATAAATGGTACCTGTACATATATCTTGATTTGGGTCCATATCATTTAAAAATCCGGGGATATATATTTCAAGTTTTGATTATATTTCGATTTAATTATTTTCGAGTTTGAATTTTTAGTTTTTGATTAAGATGTTGTTCCGGTTCAATTTTTTATTAATAGTTTTTATATTTAATTTGGATTCTATTAAATTAAAATGAGTTAAAAAGCAATTAAAAAACATTTTTTTCATATATATATATAGAATTCTATTGACCTTATCTAGTGATATTCCCTTTTAGGACAATGGATATCTCCGTCGCTTACTTTAATCAAAACGTGGATAGAAATAAAGGTAACACTTTTGACGATATAAAAAGGCAAAAAAAAATGCATTATCAAATCAAGAAACCAATCCATCTTCTTACCATACATACATACTATGTTTCATGCCAACATGATCATCTTTCAATGATACACTACTTTCTCTCTTTGACGAATTTTGCACCTTCACTAACTCTTACCAAAAAAATAAAATAAAAATAAAACCCCATTTCCATAAAGAAAATTATCGATTAATATATTCAGCTTCCGGTCTTTTTCATTTACCAAAGTTTGATTTATATTTTTTTTACATTTTGTAAAGTAGTTTACTCATTTTGATTTATAAAATTTATATTATATTCAATCAAAATAATCAAATAATAACTTTTGCGCTCATGTGTATGAACGATATATTTTTGTAATTTGAAAACATACGGTCACAAGTTTACATACATATATAGATATATGTATGTATGTATGTAAATGTGAAGTACGAATCATGGAATGAACATGAACTGCCTAATCTCAACGCAGTGTTCATTCATAGAATTTCTCAACAGTCACATAACTCATATGCAGAAAGAGCGAGCCTTTGACTTTTCAAACCGTGTCATTGACCAAATTCCTCCCAAGTTCTAACGGACCGTTGCGGGTGAGAAATAAATTGTTGCGTTGGTCCAACGGATCTAATTTCAAATCATATTTTACATATACATACATGTATAATGTATGTATTTCTGCTATGGTTGGTATTTTTTTGTGTGTGTGGGTCATATTTCAAAGAGAAGATTTTTCGAGGTATAATTAAAAAAAAATAAACCCAAAATTAGATGATTTAACTGGTAAAATTAGGATAATTTTTTTTTTACAATTTAGATTCAAAGATGTATTCACTTGAACTTATCCGATTTTTTAGAAGATATAATTGAGTCGAAATCACGGTGAATTTTCAAATTATAAAAAAATAATAGCAAACCAAGCCATGTGGTCATTTATTTTTTTTATATGGACCCTACAGAATCATCTTATCAAATCAAATGTAGTTTTTTAATTAGTTATGTAATGAATTTGTCTCGACAACATAACAATGGTGATATAATATGCAACCATATGTAAATGAAGATTAGCTAGCTAAATATATACTAACAAACAATAGAGTATCATTGCAAATAGATATTATAAGATACAACCGGCTTTATTCGATTCGTTTTATTTGGTTATGGTTGAATTATATTCATCCCAATCACACATGTCCGATTTATTTCTTCTTTATCTTTCATTTCTATTAGTTTTAATTCGGACTTCTTGGTTTTAAATATAATGAAAATATTACACCAACTGATTTTGTTCTCACATCTAAATTTCAATAATTATGACTATGGGCTAAATGTTATTGTTATGATTATATCATAGTAATAGCAATTAGCACAACTTCGGACCAGGAGAATTAATAATATGATGAAAGAGAATCATGATTATAAGGAAACATGGAATTTATCATGTGGGACCTACTCTTTTAGATATTGAAGAAACCGGCCGTCTCTCGTGAACAAGGAAGCGCAAAGGAGCGTTTTCTTCTCCTCCTCCATCTTCTTCTTCTCTCACGCAATATTTAGTGCCTTAATCCCACTTTTCTTGTGCAAATCAAACAAAAAGTTCGCTTTTTTCGTCTATTTAAGGCCAACCCACTTCACAAAACGTCAAGGAAGATTCTGGGTATTCGTTCATTCTACAAAGATACATATATATTCTGGTGAATGTTGTGTGTATATATATACGAAGCAGTTCAAGATGATGTTGTTTGATGATCGTCAAGAACGGTGCAGCTCAACACCAAAGCTCCCTCTGTTCTCGTTCCCCATGAACAGAGCAACCGAGACGCCGGGATTAGCGACGCCGCCGGTGAACATCGCCGGTACGGTGCCGTTTCTGTGGGAGGAGGCACCGGGGAAGCCTCGGGCTTCCGGCGGAGATGCCGTCGTGAGCGAATGGTCAGGGAAAAAGCAAAACGGCGTCGTCCGATGCCTGGAGCTCCCGCCGAGGCTGTCGTTGCCGGCGGCGAACGAGCCGTCTCCGACCACCGTGTTAGACGGTCCGTACATCGTACGTCGCCGGTCTCTGTCGCTGCCGCGGTCGGAGTCGCTGAGGAAGGGGGGACCAAAGCCGGCGAAGGAGAAGGGTTTGTTCGGGTCCACGAGGTGGGGTGGCAGTTCGGGAAAAATTAAGGAGATCGTCGAGGGTAAAATCGACGTTTCACGTTCCACGGCGGCCCATTTCTCCGGCGACGGTGGTACGAAGGTGAAGATAAGTAGGGTTCGAAGGAAAAAGAGCCTCCTGAATCTGAATCTTTCATATCCCAAATCCCATTTCTGGGTAAGTTTCTCTGATGGTTTATTAGTAATAATCAAAACGGAAAATTAAAAGTTTGAAACTTTACAGTTTTTCACGTGTACTAAATCTTCGTTAAAGTTGTTGATTTTACGTTATTGACAAATGATTTTTTAAATGCCAACGGTAAAAAAAATTTCCCCTTTTTCACTAAAGATTATAATTTTACAAACGCAAAAACTCCATAGGGTTTTTAAAAAAAAAATGATAAATCGTCAAAAGTTATGATTCTGTTTGCAAATATTATGTCTAGGGACGTCCCTACGGCGAAGATTAAATTTCTAATGCTTGGTTTAACTTTACTACTTAGAATTTAGGGGAAAAAAAAGAAATTATTGTACTTTGAAAAAAAACGGAATTCATATGATAAAATATAAATTTAATGTCTAAAATAGAGAGCAACAAACACGTGTTTTATTCTTAATTTTATCGACCAAAAAATTAAATTTTAAGATTTTTTTTTAAAAAATAGTTAACATAATCTGTAATTTTTAGGCTAAAACAATAAAAGTTGAAATTTTTGTTTTTTTAAATAAAATTGTGATTATCATTATCTGCTTTTATTTTGTTAATTTTTTTTATTAATCTCAATAAGGGATATTCCAAAATGAAAATGCAGGGAAGGGTATGCGAAGGGTTTAGGCAAGTGATTCCATGGAGGCGTAGGCAAGAGAATCTCAGAAGGATGAACTCTTCAATTATTTAATCGAATCTTTGCATTTTCTTAATTTCTATATATATATATATAATTAATTTGAAATAAGTCTCATCATGTATATATATATATACTTAGCATCTACGGTCCATGTGAACAAAACTCGAATTAGGGCACGTAATTGCTTTATACTTTTTTAACGTTTTTATCAAATATGAAAAGTATTTCTATTTAATGAGGAAATCTATAAAAAGCATTGATCTTATCTTAGTTGACTTGCAGATTCGTATGTAGATGCATGTAACTTTGGTCAAAAGTTGGCAGTTATTGAAAAAAAATATTAATTCTAACGCATTTTCACATTTAATTTAATGCGTGGAAAATTATCTGGAAACGAATTCTCAAAATATCGAATGAGTTTTCGTTACTATGTATATATAGCCAATGGCTGGATATAAAAAAAATTGTAAATCGAACATATTTAAAATCATGTAATTCTATATATATTATTATAATTTAAGAAAAAATAACCAATTTGTCTGAATGTATCAAATAAATATGTTAATTTACAAATTATCAAATAAATATATCAGTTATCGATTGACAATGTCATCCATCTAGCATTATTTCTATTTCTATAACAATTCGGAAATTGATGTATTTATGTTATGGCAAATCTGGATACTATTATATATTTTCCGTTATAATTTTTCTTTGATTCCAAATTTTAACTATTAAGAAATTTTATTCAAAAAACTAGTATAAATGTATAAACTCATTTTCTGATTAGTAAAGGACAAAAAATAAACATAATGATCTAGAATTTGATACTAACGGGGAATCGACATTTTTGCCGCATTAAGCCATTTGATTTCATCTACATTGTTATCATAGTCACAATTATGTGGATTAACCCACTATTGGACCGGTAAATACTGAGTAAAACTCTTTTTCAATCCAAATTCGAATCTCTATAGGAGGAGATACATTCACACAATCATGTCCAATCTTCCAAGAGATGTAACTGGATGTAAAACCGGATGAATTTTTAGATTATAAAAAAACTTTATATAATCGCAACATAAATGTGTGATTTATCTTTATTTAAAGAATCGGGAAAAAGATGTGTAATCTACCACTAAATCTGCACTATCAAATTCATGGTAGATCTTATTTTACTAAATTAAAAAAAAAAAAAACATTTGGGACAAATGAGATTAAAAAAACTGTGGCAAAAGATGAAAATGATGAGACAATCCTAACTGAAATTTCATTTAACTAAAAACTTCCCAACACAAGTGACCTCCTCCTCTTGTAATTGGCTTTGAAACAAGCCTGCCTCAGTCTCTTGGTCCTGTCTGTGAGCTCAGCGTCTGGCTCTTCCTCGATTAGCCTCTTGTGCTCTTCCAGATTCGCCACCTCATCCACCGGCATCCCCAGATTCTGCAACCAGTTACCCGTTTGCCAAAATCATATATAAAGATCAAAACCTGACACAGACACGACACTATATGATTCTGATGAACATGGGTTTTCAGTTACATATCATTCTACCGTTCATATAAACGTTAACCCATAATGGCCATGAATGTGATCTATTTCTAGAGATGGGTACTTCGTGCATGTTTCGGTTTATATGATGTACCTTGACGTTGTTGATGAGAGAGTTGAGGCTTTTGAGCTTCCGGTGAGGCCAACGCACTATGCCGAGTTCCCGACAACGTTTCTTAAGAACTGTGAGACCGACATTCAGTTCCTTCGCCGCAACTGTGATCGGTCTGTGAAAATACTTTCGGATTTCAGACACATCCAACTTGTCTTGCCTCCTGTTCTTGGTGCTCTTCTTCTTCTTCCCCGCCGTCCTCTTTCTGTCTCCCTCGTTCGAGCTCATGCAGTCTTTCGGACCCGTTAATAGGCACGGAGAATCGTAGGAAAAGCAATGAGATCCGCCGGTTTCAGTCGCGATATATTGGTTCATCGTGTTCGTATCGATCTGGAAATCAGCACAGAGGGATGAAATGATGTTTCCGTCGATGTCTTTGAACGGATCATCAAAGCCACTGAGGTCAAAATCTCCATTTCCGTCATCGGAGTTGATCAGATTTTCCAAAGGAGGCAACCTGCATGCAAAAGGAAGATCAATACAAAGGAAAACTGAGAGGAGTTTATGTCACTTGAGATGCAAGAAACAGAGAAAGGGTATCGGCCTACATGGAAAACATCTCGAACAACGAATCAGGATCGAATGAACTGTCGGCTTTTGGACAAAGAAGTTCCAAAGAGTTAGGATCCATTTTGCAGAAGATGATTCAAAAATGGCAAAACCGTACGCTGTAACTGTGAGTGTGTATACACACATATATAGTTTCAGCGAGATTGGGCTTTGAACTTTTAACGTGTTTCATTGGAGATTGTGTACAAAGCATAATGGGGAGTTACAAGTTTCCATGGTGTACGGATTAATTGTTAGCCTTAATTACTCAGAATGATAATCTTAATTGCATGATAATGGGGGCTGAATCGTGGGTTTGTGCTTCTTTAATGACGCCTTTATGATGTTCATGATTTATATCCACATAGTTTCACAACAACCGATGATGATGATGATGATGATGATGATGATGTGAAAACAATGAGATCTTAATGCAGTGAACATATCAATTACCGAGGATGGGTGAAGCAATCAAACATAGTCAAAAGAGAATTAAATTATTTTCATTCAAACTGAGAAAAATGAAGTATTCATCTTTTGCATTTCTGGATTCAGTAACCAATGATCATATACATTGTTCAAGAACAAAGGACAGAATACTAAGCTGATTCACTCTGAGATTCCGATTTTCCGACCGGCAATGAGGGAAGAAAATATGCAAACTTTATTCACGTCGTGGTCTAGGTCTGTCCGAATTCTCGGATCGTTCTAGCGGCCAGCGTAAGAACGTCTACAAAGGCGGAGAAGGATGCACGGAGAAACCTTGCCTCCACTGCTTCAAAGTGCCTGCGGATTTCACCAAGATTGCATTTATCAGAAACGAGAAGAAGACAGTATTGGTATTGAAACTCAAGAATTCACAATCTTTTTAGGGTTTCAGAAATCGGTATTGGTGGTCCAATGGGGATTCAAAATCAACAATGAGATTGCAACTGCAGAAAGCCATAGACTCACACAGAAAGCTTGTTCTTAGACACCGACATCAGCCTTTTCACCTTGTCGGGTTGCAACTGCAATGCCGAAACAGAGAACTCGTATAAGCGATTAAAGAAGCCGATAATAATCTGATACACAAATGGAATTCTCTTAAGAAGCTCAACCTCCTTATCAACGGCCAATGCCGTGTAAGCTATCAGGGCATGTTCTTCCGACTCGAAATTCACATCCAAGTCACTGCAGATGCGATAAGGACAATACATAAAAAAGACAGAAAACTTTTGGATAACGGAAAATGCATAAACTTGAACACCAATGTGATATATTGTATCCAGATCAAGCAACCTTAGAGCACAAAACTCGACAACATCATCGAAACGTGCCAGTAATTTTTCCAGGAAAATAAACCCTAAACCCTGCAACTGAAGATGAACAGACTCGAGAAATTCACCATTCACATGTTTTAACAGAACCTCTAAAAGGCTTTCAGACAATCAGAACAACTGGTTAACATACGAAACAAGGTTATCAAAGTGCTTCAAAGGAAACCCAGATACACAAGAGAAAGATCGAGGCTTTCGGGCTTGGGCGATTGAAATTCCTCTATATATCTCGGACCCAAGATTCAGGCAATCGAATCCGTAAGATTTGCCATCGGATAAGGAGCACAGACACGACAGACAACCGATTAGGAAGAACCAGAGCAGGCGGACAGCAACTACGAAGAGCAAATTACTCAAACGGAAGAATTGAAAGTCTCGAACCAGATGGAAAGAAATGGAATTTACAGAACATACCAGCTGAAATCCCACTGGGTTTGATCAGGAACAGGGGCAGCCATCTTCGATTCTTCCTTCTCCAATGGAAGCTCCCGTAACGTCGGAACATCAGGGTTTTTCTGGGCAGCTAAACGGGTTTATGCTTTCGGGCCCGGTTCGTGAGAAACTGTGATTGACGAATATACCCTTTTGCGCAAAAAGGCATATGGAAAGCCATATTCCACGAGTATATATTTTTGCACGAGGAATAATATATCTTCTCCATTTTTTCTCTTCTTATCATTCTCTCTGGCACCCTCTCAAGCCATTGCTCTGCTTCTTCTGCTCTCTCACGGGTGAAATCAAAGAGAAAGCTTTAAGCTTCGATTCAGACAGAACACAAGCGCCAGGCATGTCCTTGTCTTATATCTATTTTCTGTATAAGCTGCATAGAACTAGTTCGATTTCAATTGTCTGTCTTTGTTCTATATGAAAGATGATCTTCTTTCATGTATGGTGAGACATGTGAAAGCTTGTAGGAAATTGCTTAAGAAGAGACCACAGATAATAAAGTCACCAAAATTACTCATTCCTCCAATATTAAGAAATTAGATTTCTGCGGTTACAAGAATCGTTTCCCCATCATGGGTGTGAACATTTTACAGTTTGTTGTTCTGTTCCATCTCGAAGTAGTTCTCTTCTCTAACTTGTTTGCAAAAACATCAACGAACACCTGAAGATGAGGAGACTATGAGAGAGTGAGCTACTAAAGTTAATTCCTCGGCATTGATAAATAGATTTAGGACCACAGTCTGGAGCTTACCCGTTTAAATAGAGGGTTTTACGTACGAGACAGGCCCGACCCTTACGGGTTTCACCGTCAAGAAAGCCGTTCTTGCATAGTCAAAAGCCAATACCAGAAGACCGAAGAGGATGAATAGACAAAGATGAAACTTTTCCACCATAGTATAAGCCAAAAAGACAACACTCTCTCTGTCTACCGCAGGTTTAATAGATGTTATTCTTGTCCTGAAATAACCTGTTAAGGAAATAGGGAAGAAGGTGTTACTTAGGGTCATGAATGCATACATAGAGCTAGAAGTCCATCTCGAATGAAGGGTATTGCTGAAATGTCAGTGAGTTTTTATACATTAAACTTTTGGTAAATGGTGATACTTACCAGAGGTTTCCATGGGGAGATTAGTCCAATCATTTGGGGTGTGTTTTCATTTCTGATACCTGGATCAACTCAAGAAGAGCTCGATTTACCTGAAATTAAGGCAAAATAAATGATTTCCTTCAGGTTTTATTACAGATACATGCAGAAAACAAAGCACCTCGGAGAAGGGCAAGTCTCATTTTCTCTTTCCC